TGGAAAGAACTCCTGCAATTTTTTCCTTTTATTCTAAACAGAAAAATTAGTATCACTGGGAGGTGTTTACCTGAATACTTCCTCTCTAATACACCTACAGGTCTAGTGACCACTATTCTTATTTTTAAAGTATTCCAGAATATGTATGAATAGAATATTTTAAACAGCAAAACAGTGGTGATGACTCGCTTTAAGGGAGACTATCCCTCTTGCCATATTATAGTCACATTCTAAGAATGTTGGACTTTTAGGCTTCAGACCAACCCTGGCCTTTTTCATGATCATTTTCAAAATCATACAGTTCTATGCCAAAGCCATTTAAAATGTGCACTCAGTCTCCTCTGAGTTGCTGTACAATATTGGTTAATCACACTCATCTCTGCTTAGCAAGTTTTATTTAGTTTTTATTTTTGGTTTTTGTTTTTTTTTGTGTCAGGGTCTCACTCTGTTGCCCTGGCTGGAGTGCAATGGCAGGACTATGGCTCACCACAGCCTCAACTTCCTGGGCTCAGGTGATCCTTCCACCTCAGCCTCCCGAGTAGCTGGGACTACAGATGCATGCCACCACACCTAGCTAATTTTTTGATTTTTTGTAGAGACGAGGTCTCACTGTGTTGCCCAGCCTGGAGAGATAGCATCTTATATGACTTTATACCTCTCCTTTTCACTTCATAAGATAATACTGAGAACACAGGAAATGAACAATAAATATTCATTGAACCTAATCAATAGTTTTGAAATAAAGTACACCTTTACCAATGATGAATTGGTAATGCATATTTTTAAAAACTCTTTTATTAAAGAAAACATATTGAATAGAGAAACATTTAAAGAATAATTGAGCAATATTCCAACCAGCTAAAGACAACCAACATTTTGTTTTTGATTTTTTCCTATGGCTAAGTTGATTTTAAAATATAATTATTATGCATAAAATTTTGTGTCCCGCTTTTCTCACTTATATTAGAATCATTTTATGTGTTGTTATGATGAGTTTTTACTTTTAAATCTGTAAAATGGTACACTTCTACCGCACAGTGAATAGTCAATAAATTAATGAATTTTAAAATTAATTTATTCATAATATTAAGAATCACACTTTTAAAATATTTACTATTTTGATAGGTGAGAAATGGAAACATCTTTATGTTTGAAACCTTGCATTACCACTTTACTATTGAGGATTTTTTTTTTTTTAGTTGGAGTCTCACTGTCACCCAGGCTGGAGTGCAATGTTACACTTGCGGCCACACCAGCGTCAACCTGCTGGACTCTGTGATCCTTCCATCTCAGCCTTCCAAATAGCCAGAACTACAGGTGTGCACTACCATGTCGGCTAATTTTTTATTTATTGTAGAAACGAGGTCTCGCCAAGTTGCCTGGACTGGTCTCCAACTCGCGGGCTCAGGCAATTCACTCGCCTTGGCCTCCCAAAGTGCTGGGATCACAGGCTGAGAGGATGTTTTTCTTAAATGTGTTAAATTGATCAACTGCATTTTCTCTTTTATGAATTTTTTTCAAACATTTTGTCCTTTTTTCTCTATTGGAAACTTGATTTTAATGAACTCATTATAATTGTAATTTAGTCATAAGATTTTTGTGATTTTTATTTCCAAAATAAATGTTATCAAATAAAGGAAACAATTAGAAAACTCAAAGTAAATCTTTGTAATCACAGAGAGAAAAGAACAAGGAGAGATGTTAGTTGAAATACTGAATGATGCCATCTAGTGGAAAATTTATTTTGACTTATCTCTTTGGATTAGAGATTCCCAAATTTCAGTGGCCCAAAATTTGGAATTTATGAGCTTTGTTAAAATATGTAGTCTAGCCCCTCTTCCACCTAGAGATTTCTAATTCACTTGATGTGTATGATAGTCCAAGAATCCTGTTTCGGGAGTGTTCATACTGGAAACTATAAAAATTCCATTTCAGTGAAAAGAAGGTAGAGGGACCTGTGCTTTCTCTTCAGAACGTCCACCAACTTTTTGTTGCAACAACATCCTTGAAATGTGTCATCTGTGCTGGTCGCTGTGCTGCTTTACTGCTATCATTTTCATCAGTCTGCTCAAACACTGTAAGGTAGAGACTATCATTGAGGTGGAGAATTCAGGTAACTTCCCCAAGGACACGCAGCTAATCCTCTATGGGAACCCACCAATATGTGGGTTCTGTCATTGTGTACAGGCATATGTGACAGGAAAGGTCATAGTCATATGAACAGTGAAAAGGGACTCATTTTGAAAGCCCAGTTCCAGGGCCATGAACCGACACTGCCACCTACGTTTAGCTTGGTTTACTACACGCAGAAATGAGTTGTATTCCTTAGTTCCTGAGGGCTGTTCAGGGACACTTTGCTTGGCATTTTGCAGCTTAATAGGTATATGATTTGGACTAATACAATTCACATTCAGACACCCATTAAAGATTGGTTGCCGATTGGGGGTGTTATAAATTTGAGGGTTTTCAGTATTTTGCTGGTTCTCTTCATTCTTCCCCTACACTTGTATGTTAAAGTAAGCTGAACTGCCTCAAACCTTCTATATGGAGGCAAACGGAAACTAATTTATTTAGAGCAGGTTAGAAAAGCCAGTTGATAGGGATCTGGCAGCCAGGCTGACTGAGGCTACAGCCGCTGGCCTTAGGCATGAGGGCTTGTACCCACCTGCCAAGAACCAAGGCCTGGGCCCTCTCAGCGCTGGTAGAAGCCAAGCTCGGCCTCTTCAGAAGCAGAACCTCTTCTTTCCCTGTGCTCACTCCCTCCCTTGGGCCCAAAGGATCAACTGACTTTAACTGAAAAATTAATTCCTGCTACTGCCCTAGAAGGAAACAGCGTGAAGGTAACATAGGAACTTTACAATAGTCCTCTTGAGGGCACCTCCCTGATAATGGCCTTATTCTCTAGTCCATTAGGGACTCTAATAATGGAAAGTTATGACTGTGAAAGAATCCTTTGTGGGGGGAGGGAGGGCTTAGCAACCTGAGACCTTCATTATCTCTTAAGCATCTGTCCACCAGGAGAAGAGTTCCTTTTTAGTATCCCACAGACTACATTAGCCATTAGAAATCTTTTGAGCATCAGTAAACAAAGAACATCAAATACTGTAGTGTTGTGCCGAGTGCAGCGGCTCACGCCTGTAATCCTAGCACTTTGGGAGGCTGAAGTGAGGGGATCGTTTGAGCCCAGGAGTTCAAGACCAGCCTGGACAACAAAGTGAGACCTCATCTCTTAAAAAAAAAAAGATGAACACATAAAAATCTCTCGATTTATTTTTACATTGCTAAGTGGAAAATAAATTTGAAAATATAAACATGCGTTTATATCTGCAAATCCTTTCCTCCCACCCCAGGAATTCTAAGTGTGACATGATAATGCCCAGTGATGCAAAAGAAAAAAAGAAATTCAAGTCAATATCAGCAAAACAGAGAGAAAAAAACTGATGACTAAGAAAAACGATATTGAACTGGAAGGAAGAGATGAAATAAAAATAACAATAGATAACATTAATTGACCATTAATTTGTGCCAGGTACAACTATTCATCTTATCATACAGATAGGGAAACCGAGCAGTTAAGTCATTTGCTGGAGCCATCCAAATGCTAAACAGGACAGGGAACCGAGCTGTCAGGCCCCAGGGCCCCAGTTCCCGTCTAAAACACCAGGGGTCCCCAGCCCCCGTACTACCTCTCCGTGGCCCGTTGGGAATTCTGCCCACATCAGGAGGTGAGCAACCGGCGGGGGGGTGAAGTTCCGCCTAGAGTCCGACCAGCGGCGGCATTAGATTCTCCTAAGCGCGCGAGGGATCTGGGTTGCCCTCCTGCGCTTCCTGGGAGAATCGAACGCCTCCTCCCCCCAAGGTTCCCCACCCACTCTCCACCCCATCCCCACACCATGCCCTCGGCCGTGCTGAAATGGTCTTCCACGAAACCGGTCCCTGACGCCAAAAGGCTGGGGACCGCCGCACAACGCGGTAAGGAGATCGAACTCGCATCCCTCCCTTGGAGAGTCAGAAGCAAACTTGGGATCGAGAATTCGCTGAATGAGTCGCCCATTGGACTAATGGCCACCTGCTCGAGGACGGTTGTTTGGCCGCCTGGCCGCCTCCAAGCTCATTTGTAGAAGTAAATTAGTTGGGCTTTATTATGCAAGTGAGTTCACAGTGACAGGGTCTCCTGCGGAAAGCATCTGGACGCCTTGGAGGGTAAGACACCTAAGCCATTCCTTCCAGGTTCTTACATTTATTTATTTTTGTAGAGACTGGGTTCCCCATTCTAACCCAGGCTGGAGCACACTTCACCACAGCCTCAACCTCCTGAGCTGAAGAGATCCTCCTGCATCAGCCTCCCAACTGGCTGGGACTACAGGCACGCGCCACTTTTTATTTATTTAAATTTTTGCAGCGATGGGGTCTCGCTATGTGGCCCAGGCTGGTCTCCAACTCCTGGGCTCAAGCAGTCCTCCCGCCTCGGCCTCCCAAGGTGCTGGGATTACAGGCGTAAGCCACCGCGCCCGGTCTAAAATTTTTTTTAATTAGATAAAAAGCAAAACAAGGGCACAGAAACTATGGACTAGTAAAGATTTACATTAAACAAAGTAACGCTTTCAACACACCCGCAGTGACAATGTTTGACGATAACCACGTAGCTCCAAGCCTCTCGCCGTGCGACTCTGGGGTCCGGCCTGTGGCTCCCTGGCGTCCCCGCGACAGGCCCAGGCGGACACGCAGACACCTCGACTTCAGCACCGCTTTGTAGTCTCGGTATAAACGCGGCGGAGCCGCCACCAGAGGCCGCCGGCCAGGGCCGCACTGACGACGAGCGGTGACCACGGAACGAGCCGTCGGGAACGCAGCGCCCTCGGAACCAAAGCGCCAGCTCTCGTCTGCTCCGGGCGGGCGGCGTTTCCCATGCGCCGGAGGCGGGGCCGGGCGCGCGGGGAGCGCGGCGACTGCGGGCGCGGAGGGCGCGGGCGGCGCGGGCGGCGCGGCGGAAGCGGACCATGCTGAGCGGCGCCTGCTGCCGCCTGTCCTCTGCGTTGCGGATCTTCCGCGCGCCGTGGCCCGCGGTGTGCATATGGGGCCTGCCAATTTAACATCAATCAGCTAAATCACTTATGGACCCAATCCGGTTTCTGAGCTGGGAAACAGGAGGCTTAAATAAGAGTCTCATCAGATTGCATCTGACAGGAAATAAGTAGTTAATCCCTTACACCCCCCCCCCAAAAAAAAACACATTAGGTTTTGTTAGAAAGGGGGAATAATCTAAGTTACAGAAAAAAATTTTTTTTTAAAAAGAAGTAAATTTTTTAAAGGTATTGTTCCTATGTGTGATTTGGTAGAAAGAGATGTCTTTACCCATGAGCAAAATTTCTGTTTTAGCAGGAAAATAAAAATAACAAATGACAAAATTAGACCTTGAAGCTTCCCTTCATCTCTCTGGCATCACGGGAACTGTGGCGCAGCCTCAGTTTACGCCCTCTTGTGCCCAGTCGAGGGACCCAAGCAGAGTGTGGCCCGGGAACTCTTCATTTGGATATCAATTTCTGAAATATATGATGAAGTTCAGCAATCTTTTTCTTTCTGGAATACTCCAACCCTCACAGACCAATCCTGTAT